TTTTTTTTTTTTTTTTTTTTTTTTTTTTTTTTTGCAGCTCTCTATATGACGTTATTTGTAAGATCTTTCCGCATGCAGTTGAAGTAAAGCTGAATGCAGTATCAGTCGATAATCAACAACTAGTAAGTTTTTTTTGGTATCTGTTTCTGAAAATTATTTGTTTAGGTTTATCCAAAAATGTTCCTTCTAGTTGTTGGCGTTGCTGTCTAGGGAACCAAACCTACTTTTGATACATCAGAGTTGATTTTGTTTATTCACGAAAAAAACCAGCAAAAATATTAGCGTCTCAAAGGGTTCAGTTATACAGTTATAATTGTTATCTAAGGTAGTGTATACAGAGATTGGAATGGCCATCAATGTGCTGCACGTGACATCGTTCTAACCGTATTCGTGTTACCCTTATTGATTCCTTAGCAGAACTTCCGAACATGGCAGCCATTGGCTATAATTTTTTTTTTAAGGTTTATTGTTGCACCTCATTATCATTTTGAGTACGTAGAATGCGCGGAAAACTAATATAGACCTTTTAATGAACTATAATTTTATGAAATGTCGTAGTACTTGAGAAGGTGAAAAAAGTCTTTTTGGGAAACAGCTTTTTTTACTGAGGTTGTGAACGAATGTATTAATTAGCGTGATCGAAGTATGTGGAAGAGCCGACCTACTTTTTCAATAGAACAAATGTTTCAAGAGTACGATTTTGTACATTGATAAGCAATACTCTTTGGAAGGGTGTATTTTAGTATCGCTCGGATTTAGACTTTGTAAGTGAAGGGGTTAAGAAAAGAAAGAACGTTACATTTTGTTTCCACTGTAGAAATGGGGAAGCTTTTTTCCTGTATTAATGCAAATTCTTAATGGTATGCTACCGTACTATGAAACTTAAAAAACATTTTTGTAGTGCACACAGAAAGTACCACGTTCCGATCGAATTCCATTAAGTAGGTCTGTGTAATTCTTTTTTGATTTTACTTTTCGAGGAAAACACTTGAAGTTGGTTTACGCAATCTGACCTGTATGCTTTTCCATCATGCTAATTAATGGAAGGCAAAAAGTTTCGTAATATTATACCTTTCTAAACTAATTGATGTTTTTTTTACTTACCTCTCATACTAGTGTTAGAAACAACATCATAAAAAGAATCCCTACATTTCTGCCCGTGCCCGATCATCATGCATCGTGTACACGTAGTTACTTGTCCATGCTGGCAAGTTTCTGTGATTTTGAATTTTTATATCAGAAATAAGCCCACAAAAACGAGGTGTAAATTATTAAGGACACGCACTATAAATTCCTTTAACTGAGGCAGGAAGCATAAATATTACAGAGCTCATTTTCTGGTTTTTATTCGGAGAAGCACATTTCAAAATGTGACAGCTGCATGTAAGGGAAGTCCTACAAAACACGTAGTTTTTTAGAAAGTGTGCATTGTTAAGCTGAATTTACAATTCCAGAAAAAACAAAGTGCATATCATCCCTATATAGCACTGAGATCACAAACAAGCGCACTTTCTAAGCCATCAGTATAGCACTGTTGCACCTAAAAAAGAAGTAGGACTAATTCTTGAGACGGTTTCAAACCTCATTCAGAAAAGCAAACGTTCTTTCTAGATTGCACTCTAACGTCTTAAAGAGCTATCTTATGTCAACAGTTGCACAAATTAAACCAACAAAAAAGCGGGGAAGCGCCTAAAAGTAATCGGCGTGTTGGATGCCTGCCAACTTTTGAATTGTTTGCTTTGGCGCGATGCATTTATATCGGCTGAACCGAACTCTTTTACCCCAAAACTTTCCCTTTTATATCGTCTGACTTTTGGTAGTGATAGTACTGCCTCCAATTTTATTCCCAGAAGATGGTAGTGGAATTTTGAGGTTGCTTAGCTTTTCAAATTCAAGCGCGCAAAACTGCTGTAGAACGTGTGGCTTGTAAGCACTTGTCAAACAGCACCAGCATTTGATATTTGGAGTATGTTGATGACATCTGACAATATTTAACCGACTAGGGAAAGTAGTTTCTCATACTGTTAAACTTTCTTTATTTTCATTGAGTGGTGGGAGGCAGATTTATTTCATTTTGTATACAACTGGTTTGCAAGCTTGATTTTTTTTTCTCTCACACGTAGTTTAAGGCCTCGTAATTTCAACCAAAACTGAAATTGGAGATACAGGTTGGGGAGTATTTTACTTCAACCTTAGTCATAATAAAGTTTTCTCGCAGAATTTTCTTGGTGACATCATTTTACTTTTGTCATTAGTTAGGCAGAAATTTTAAGTGGGAAAGTTTTTTACTGACAGATTTGGTGATATCTGGAAAGCATCTTTAAGGCTCTTTATTACGCAGATGTCCTTTCTGTAAAGCCAGTCAAAGGCACGAGAGGAACAGAATCTGGAAGGCGCGGTTTAAATGAAGGAAACAGGGTCCCCTTATACTTAAATTTTAAGCCTTCCACTTTGATGGAAAAAGACGTCTTGCCTTAGCTGTCGTATTTGGACAGGCTTCTTTGCTGCAAAACGTATGTGACTTTTGATATTTGTGCGCTGATTCGCAGTAGTTTCTCACGCCGAAAAGCGTCTTATACTTTGGATTAGATACTTCGAATCACTTTGTTGGCTTGTAGTGGGAAATTTCTTCCTTATTAGTCCTTCCAGAGTTGCCACGGATTGCTGTGTTGGTTTCTTCGTGTGGCTACGGTTCAACGCTCTTAATACTTATTTGCCGTGTTAAAGTTTATCAAATTTGTACGATAAAGGTTTCTAATCAAACGAGTTAGTGCGGCAGTAGAAAGAATGAGAAAGCAGTTTGGTACTGAAGTCCTTTTTAAATGTTCTTCCGATGGCTCGTCTAAAGATGGGCTGCAATACAATTGGTCGACAGAATTCTTGAACATCAGTAGGATGAGAAAGATGCGTCAGAAAATTACTTGGGGAACAGCAGATTTTGCAAA